AGCTGCTTTGGAAGAGTAAAAGGAGAGTTCTGAAGCAGTTTTTCGAGCAATGCAAATTACAGGGGTAAAATATCATAGGTAAGATAAATTTTAGTTTGCGGCTGTCATATGGACAAAGACAACGAAGTAAGAGGAGAAGCATGCGGGAAAGGCACATGTGCGTGCATAGAGCAGCACACGAACTAGATGTGTGTGACACAATGCCATGAAAGAAGGCCGCATTGGCAGCTACACTCTGTCGACAGGAGCACCGAGCGTTCGGTTCCAGAGGCCACAACGCTTGCACACCACGACTCGACCAGTGACCTGGGCAATGCTTGGGTGACGCTCCTTGGAGGGACTGCAGCCCCTTGCAGCAGTTTCAGATGCATCCACAGCATACTTGCTTCAAACGTCAGCCAGCAGCAATCCCTGGAACACCACGTCATCACATCAAGCAGAGGCCAGCATCATAATAGGCCGAATCGACGAGGGCATATTGCCACGTCACCAACGGTGAATAGTAAAAGCTTACGCCAGCGCGGCTGTCAATTATGCGTCAGAGCGACGATTGAATAGGATAGTTGGCTACATCGGCCGTGGGCCCAACACAACTGACGGTTGAACATACAACGATCAAAGAATTCAAGTAAGAGGGTTCGATTTGGGTCGGGCTACAGCCAGAGTGCGAGGACTGAAGCGGCCAGGCTAAAGTTATGACTATAGCTGGATATATTAAGAACCGATTACTTTAATGTCAATTTACTTTTGGGGATCCTGTTAGCAGTGTTTGTAGTTTTTCCACTGTTGTTTATTTACTGAGCAGTTCAGTTTTTCCTTGGTTGTTATTTGCTGGGCTGCCCAAAGTCTCACTCCATCGGCAATAGCAAGTGCCTCCGAGATCCATGACAAAACAATTGGAGAGCCTGCCAGGGCCGGGAACTGTCAGGAGCAGAAGATTCGAGGATCATTTTCTTTTCCTGCCCTAAACACTTATACTCGTGGGGTGTGTAGATGGTTGGAAATGTTAGTTTGCAGTAGCAAAGGAGGTTGGAATGACGAAAATGTGCAATAAGAGCACATTAAAGAAAAGAAACTCAAGTTTCAAAGCAAGGAAGTGCTTGGATTAAAGCTGAGCTTGGAGCAACTAAACAATGTTCCGCAAGATGACCAGAGTGTCATATCAGCATCCTCTACCTGCATATGTCTGAGGAAGTTGATGGTTCTGTTCAATGAAAGAAGTGACGACTTGGATGCCTATTTACATAAACTTTGAGCGGATTACAAGGGGTCAAGGTTGGGAAAGAGGGGAGTGGACAACAGCACTGACCCTTTGTTTGGTAGGACAAGTACAAATGTGTTGAGCTGAATGCCTGCCAATGACTCCATAGACTATGATAAGGCAAAAAAGACACCACTTGCAAAAATTTATGCTGAAGGTCGAAGGTTTCCAGGAGCGATTTCGCGGCTGCAAGCCAGAGAATACAGAAACAGCAAAGCAGCTTGTGTGTCGCTTGTCAAATTATTTTGAAAGATGGATGGAGATGGCGAAGGTAGGAAGAATATATGAAGGCGTACGTGACTGCATGGTCATGGAAAAACTCTGCTGCAGTAACAGCCTAAAAAAAAGGTAACCACACTTTATGGTGTAGCAGAGCATGCCGATCAGTACTTGGAGACCTAGCAAAGGCAAATGATGGCGGTGACAAAAGAAACTGAATGAGACAGAGTAGATCTCAGGGGCTGTCAAACACGTGACAGCGACCACTCAGGTGTTTTTTGTGTAACAACATTCTACACTGACTTATGAACTTTTGAGCTGGAGGAGATGGACCGTTGCATGCACAAGTAGTGTGCCAGCTGCGTAACAGAATGGGACACTGTGCAAATGAATGTAGGTCAGCAACTACATACGAAGTAATGAGTATAGTAGACTCCCAGGGAGGTTCGATTATAGAATTTGGGATTACAAAGTAGCCTGTATAGTAGACTCGCACAGTGATAGCATGAAAGGGCCACAGGTGCAGAAAAAGAGAGTCAGAAAATAATGAAATTCAATTTTACTCACAAAAAAATATTTACCAGTGGTAGACAGAGAAGTGCACGAACAAAAGGTAAATGTTTTGAAAGATACAGGTACCAATACACTCAAACCTTGTTGTAAGACACACGGATATAACGAACATGGGTTATAACAAAGTGAATGAGAAATGGTCTTCCAATAGGTAACAGTGTTAGGAATAAGCTTTATGAATGATTTCCAGATATAGCGAACTTATTTTCTTGCAAGATGCAACTTTGCTATAATGAGGTTTGAGTGTACTGTTTCTGTGAAAAGGAGCTTAGTGGACTGTATAAAATTTAGCAGGAGAGTATGCAACAGTCATTTTGGTGGATAGTATGGTGAGAAGGCTTCCACAAGCTCGGATTAAAGTTTCAAGTCTATATTATACAGGTTGAGTGACAGCGCAGTGTTTGGAGAAGTCCGTGCACGATCTGATATTGGCAGTTGTGTCGGGAATGAGGAAAGTAGATGAGCCTGATATGAACCTGAGAGAGGAACAAGGATGCAGCAGGGGATCAGAATGCACGTAGTGGTAGAGTAGCAAAACAAAGAGAGTCGTAAAAAGAAGCTATGCCGCAAAAGTTTATGAGAAGTGCAGCCACAAGTAGCTTGCAGTGGCATAGGACAGTAATGATGAGAGTGGCAATAAAAGGAGCAGAGGTCATGATACCAAAGGTGGCAACCAAGAAGAATACAGACATAAGCCGTATGGAGTTCAGGGAAAAGCAGAAAGAGAATGAAACAGCAAAAAAAGTTTTTTTTTGGCAATGAAAAAAGACTGCTCCAAAAGGCAGAAGATGAATAACAATTATCTGGCTACAAATAGAGAGGCACATGAAACCAGCGTTAACTGCAGCAAGGTGTGGGAGCGGGGTAGTTTGCATTCCGTGTTTTTACAGTTGAAGCACAATAAACGTAGACAACTGGGTATCCTAGCCACTTGTTGGCATCCACATCAGAAACAACTGCGGAAAGGCTTCGAAGTCAGAGCCACGCGCCCAGATTTTCAGGCAGCCCTGCGTATGAATGTGGCTGCGATCACCAGTGATGTCCCGCACTACATTGAAGAATTCCTATTCAGAGACATGAAAATTCCCTATTACCGAGAATTTTTCCCCTTGCAAACGATGATATTCCCACCATATTTCCCTGCTCAACAGTACTAATTTCTTCTGAACGAATCTACGCACACACATAGTATATTACACGTATTTGACGTACTGGGCACTTTTGAAATCATGGCTGGCCCTTCCACTGCCGCACGACACAAGCATGACCTTACTAATTCATATACTTTTTGTACACTGCACATTGTGGGCCTTCAAGTCGAACAGCAACAGTGAACTAGAAATAGATTCACGTAAATATCAAATAAATCGCGAGGGCTGCAGGATGAAGGCACACTGTGACCACTAATTATCGGTCGTCGTAGGAGAATTTTACCATTTCTGAAATTCCCACCAATATCACGGAGATTCCCCTTTTGCCTTTGGCTCAAAATGAGGTGAAAAATTCTCAAAAAAAGGAAAATTCCCAGTGCGAAACATCACTGGCGTTCCCATACTTGCATATAATTTTACACAATGTAAAGAAGATGGATCAGACGGCCGGGGTTTCGGTGGTGCTTTCTGCTCCCGATAAGTTGTCACAGTTACGTGCAAGGTCTAGTCCTGTAAGAAGGCTTTCTAACAAGTAGTAAAATTGAAGCACCGAAACGAATCCGTTGATGGTGTGATGAGTGTAGTATATAACGTATCTTTCACCTGTGGTCAAAGTTACATCAAACAGGCAGATGCCTCAATGTGCGATTACTTGAACACAACCAGAAAGTAAAAAAGGGCTCCAATGGTTTCCTGGCCATTCTTGCGCAGAATGCAAATGCATGCCGGTATTTGATAAAACAAGTGCGTTGGGTACTCCCCTAACGATTGTATTAGGCTTATCATTGAGGTAGCGGCAATAGAAAATCGAAGCTGCATCGGCAAGCCATCCATCGCACGTATTGATGTTTATAGTGCAATGAATAGAGTAATAGGGACAATGGACTTTTATAACAATCTTGTGAAGTGACCTGTGAAGGACCAATGAATGTTTGTGGCAAGTATGTGGTGAGGTAGTAAGTAAAAAGGCATGCGAATTGACAAGATATTGCAATGGTTCAAAATGCACAGGATTTACACAAAAAGAAAAGGTTTTTTTTTTCCAAGAAAAACAAAAGAGGAAGGGAAGGGGGCTATGTGAAGAGTAACTCCCATAATCAGAAATGCTGCTTGACTTGTATGCGACTTGCCGCCGCCTTCAAGGCGGCACAAACGGGTTTCAAACGCGCTGCATTGAAGGTGGTGGCAAGTCAAGTTCAAGTCGAGCGTTTCTGAAAACGCTGGCGTTTATTGAGTTCGCGTATATGAAGATGACGAAGTAGGGAGAGAAGCACGCGGATGAGGCACAGGGGCATGCGTGGAGCAGCACACGCCTCGACACGCGTGACAAGAGCCGTAAACATGGGCGGCAATTGGATGATGAGCTGGCGCCAATGCTCGCGTGGTTGCGGGAGAAACAGGCGGTATTGGAGGCTACGCGTCCTGTCGACAGGAAGCAGCGGGCGTTCGGTTCCCGAGGCCGTGACGCTGGCACTTCGTGGCGTAGCCGTTTGCCTGGACAACGCTCCTCCGAGGCGCTGCAGCAGCTTGCGGCAGTCCCCCTTTGAACGTCGGCCAGCAGCAATCCCCGGAACGCCACATCAGGAGGTGCCATAATCATATTAGGCCTAACAGACGAAAGCACCGTAAGATTATCATTCCGACTTCTGGTTTTCGGGAGAGAAGCGCGGCACGCAGTCGCGCGTCTTTTGTTTGTTAATTTTTTCTTTACCTCCCGAACACCTCTACCGCTAGGCGCGCGCGTGGTCATTTGATTCTAAAGCCATACGAAGTCACGCAAACGCTGCAAAGAGAACATGCCAGCACCACAGCTTCGAAGCCGCGCGGCGGACCAACAGCTAAAGAAGCCGAATTCAACACCGGGGAAAGGTGCGCGGTGAACGGGCGCAAGCATCCGCGATGGCAGAACCATGAATTGCACTATCATTTTGTAGGACCGTCAGCTTGAAACGGCGTTTACTGGGTTTGCTTCGCAAGGCTACGTGGCCCGCTAACACGTAGTTCGGGCTGTAGTTCGCGTAGCTTGGATACGTACAACGCTAATGTTACGAAATGCAACGGGCCTACCAATAAGGTAAGCGCATGACGCACGCGCAGTGGCAACACGCTCACGGAGAAATTTGCGTACTCATTGTAAAACTGTACCTTGGCAGAGAGTGCCGACACTGCGCACTATGCACTTCTATAACGACAACTTACCCGACGCATGCAGAATATCCCACACTATGGCGAAGTGTGCTGTCGGCCTAGTGGCCTTCGTGTAGACGCTGCAAACGTAAGCGTCTATGCTTCGAGGAGAAGAGCACCTTTAAATGCATGCGCGTGGAGCCTCCGTTATGGCATAGAGAAATGCGCAGGGTTCGAAAACGTCCTTCCGCGCATAGACACTGGTGACCTCTGGAACGAAAAGTAATCGACTATTCGCTTTTTTTCTTTCCATCTTTATTTAAAAAAATTCGCCCCGCTTCACGAAAATACATAATTCGCGGCGAAGAGCGCCTGCGGACCTGAGCAAAGTTTTCTCGGAAGTGACACGGTTGGCGGCGTTCGCGGCATGGCCTTTGAGATTCAGACCACACAGCCATCATGGAGGCATTTTTGTGCATACAGTAGGTGCCGTCACTTCCGCGAGGTAGCGACACACGCGCTGCTCAGAAGGAGGTTATCAGAAGGAGGTTATCTGATTGGTGGCTTAAGTCAAGGCACGAGTGAAAATTAAACTATTCACTGCAAAGTACTAATCCTCAAACTCACTTTTTAAGAAAAAAATAAATAAATATAAATAAATAAATATAGTTTTGGTTCATTAGGTATTTCAGCTTGGTGGCGCGAGCCACCGCCCGATCTAAAGGGTACAGTCATATCCATCCATCCATCCATCCGCGCTGTTCGCGAGCGCAATGGACGCTCGTTACCAGCGTGTGCGCTACGCTGGCTGGCTGCACTGCGCCGCGATCGTTATCGTCGTTCCGTACCGTGACGGGAGCGAGCACCTGGGTAGGGTGGCTAGAATGGGGAGGTGTGATGAGCGGGGCGCCTTTCGCTTGGCGGAGAGGGTCCTTCGGCGCGCCGATGCCGCTAGGGGCGCTGATGGCAGCGGCGCGGGTAGTGAGCGGCGCACTTCGCTGGGTTTGCTTCAGTCGCGCCATAATTTTTTCGTTAGCAGTCGCACTGTCTTACAAGTATGTCGTCGATCGGTGATTGCGTTGAGTCTCTCTGAAATGTCCGAAGATGTCAACGACAAAAAAGAAGACGCAACGTTGGTGCTTTGTGCCTGGCTGCAACACTGGATATTATAATTCTTCAGGAGAGAAAGTTTCCCTTTTCGAGCTCCCACGGTAGTGTGCTGTTCGACAAATGGATTCGTGCTATTCCAAGAGCGGACAAAACAGCTTGACGAGAACTCCGCAGTGTGGCGAGAAGCACTTCGACCCAAGGTATGTACAAAAAATAGAAGGCACGGTGTTCGCACACCCGAGCAGAGACCAATTGCTTACTTGCGTTCCACGTGTCACATGCTGCATTGCAACATAACCAATTGGCTGTCCTTTTCTCTTTCTTTTTCACAGATTTGTCGTGCGTACGTTCAAACATAGATTAATGGTGAAGATGTATACATGCCGCGCGCTGTGCCGACCTTAACAAATGACGCCGTGCCGACGATTTTCCTAATTTGCCTAAATACTTGACGAAAGCTCTGCCCAAGGAGAGAAAGAGACGGAAAAGCGTGGCTGAAAGTGCTGTTTCGAGTAAAAGAATTAGTGTGAACCACGACATGTCGAAGAAGGCTCAGCGATTGAACCATAAGGCAGTAACTATGTTTTTAAATATCTTACAAAAAAAAAGATTACTTTTTGTTGATTTTTACTGCCTGATTTTGTATAGTAGTCATGGAGGGAAAAAAACTTTCCTTCCTTCGTGTAAAGTAGTAATCTGTGTCAAATGTACGTAAATAAAAAAAATATTTACAATAGAACTAGGTGGATTTTGCAGTTTAATTTACAACATTTAGTGAGTTATAGTAAAAGTGGCATCGCTTGCGGCATTACGCAATGGCGGCCGCCTTGGTAAATGTGAAATTTGCTTATATCAACATCATACCTCGCGGAAGTTTCACGCACAATCTTGCGCTGAAATATCGAAGCTCTCCGCTTATCGCACCTCGTAGTGTTCGATGCATTAAAGCGGAGATTAGCGCCAGTTATTGCAGCGTGTTTACGTAGTCCCTTTCCCAATGTTTTCGCGTCGAATGTCGCTCTATCGTACGCGAGTGCGATGTTGGAAGGAAAGAGCTTCTCTGTACACTCGAGAGAAACAACTTTGCCGCTGCGTGCCAAACATGGTTTCACAAGTGTCACCAACTGCATGATTTGCAGACTACGTTCGTGACTTCGGCATGTGCCCGATTGTGACGCAAGGTCGAAGCGCTTTTCCGGCCAAGGGCTTCGACGTGTGACGTCCCAAAGTTCTGCATTACAGTCACTACTTTGCCAGTGTCAGCGCTTTGGACGGTGTCACAACTCCGGGCGGAACCTTGTGAATCGACGCTTCTAACACGCACTGTGTCCATCTAGATCGTACGTGCACTCGAGTAGAGTTGCACTTCAGGGCGGACCAGCCAACAACAGTAGCCTTAGCTGACCTCGTAGAGGCGCTCACACTTACGACCGCTTCGTGGAAGGCGGTTAAAGGGCGCCGCACGTTTATCAGATGTTGTCAACAAACGCAGGGCAACACCGCTTTCAGGTGTAACCTAACACCATGACACCACCGGGTTAAGCTTTGCGGTGACCTCGATAAGTCGCGCATCGGGAAGTGTGTTTGAAGTGGCGACCCATGTTAATGTAAGTGCACAGCCGCCCAAATCTTTTAACTATCGTGCGCGAGTGCCTAGGATGGATGAATTGATATGGCTGTACCCTTTAGATCGGGCGGCGGCTAACTCCGCCTAGCCGTAATACTTTGTGAACCAACAACTAGATTTATCTTTTTTTTTTCCTTAGATAGTTCAGTCAAGGACTGGTACTTTGCAGTGAAGGATTTAGTTTTCACTCGTGCCCTGATTTTAGCCACCAATCAGATAACCTCCTTCTAGTTATTTCTACCCGCTTAAAGTCTATTTTGCCCTCCCTGTCCCTAAATCACAGTGCTTTGAAGAACTTTGCACTACCATCCTGAACTATAGAGTGAAGCCCTTTACAGAACATTATCAAGTGTTCGGCAGTTTCCTCCTTCTCTCCATGCGCACTGCATACCGTGTCTACCCCTTCGTATTTGGCCGATATGTCTTGGTTCGCAATACTCCCGTCCTGGCCTCAAACAGTTGCAAACTACCCCGGGTATTATCATAGATCCTTTCCTTGGCAATTTCCTGCTTAAAAGTTCGATAGATCACTAGTGCGGACTTTTTAATCATGCCAATTCTCGACATGTTGGTCTCCGTTTCCTTCACCATCTTTTTAACCCATAGTTTTTAGTGCGTCAGCACCGTACGACGGAGCCAAGTGGCAATCAGGGCCACAGTACGCGCATGCCCACGAAGCGTGCTCAGCTGGGCCCATCTAAAGTAACTGTATATGCCAACTCTAGGCCCATCGTATGCTCGACTGTTCCTTCGTGGGAACATCGCCTTGCATTGAATCGCACCAGAAAAACAGGCTGCGAGTCTTTCGAATCTTGTATTCCGAAGATCAACAAGCAGCCGAGAAAATGAAATCCGCAGATACGTCGCACGCCCCCGCGCATGTGACACATACTTTTTCGTTGTGATTGAATTGTCAGTTTATGCAACTCTTTCTCGTTGTGTTTCAATTGCCCGGTGATGCGCATTTGTCTTCCAGGAAATGGGCTCTTCGATCATTTTTCTTTCATCCACTTCTTATCACATGCCATTGAGGATCTCCAGGCTAGCATGGAAAATATAGCGCACTAACAGCATAAGCTGGAAGACTGGTCACTTCGAGCCCATTGCAAACTTTTGTAGGGTACCTACTGCAAGTGCAGTTGCCAAGCACCCACTCTGCACAGCCTCATAGATTTCATAAAGTACCGAAGTACCCACTGCTTGCCGTAAGGCACATGCATCCACACCATTTGTTGATGCTTAAGCTGATGACAATGTTGAACTATGGCCGAGTCCTTTGTAATGTGTAGGCAGCTTTAAACCATGCTCAATAAACACTTTGCGTGGTGCAATGTCTGCTACAAACAATTATACACTTTGGCTTCGTACTGTTCGCATGGATGTTAACTCCTCACAAGGCATGATGCCTCTATAGGCTTTTTTTCAAAGCAGTTTCAAGCTCTGAATTCTTCATGGTGGAATACCTGGTAACCATAAACAACACCTGTGTTCAATTCCTGCTGAAACCTCATCTCTAAAGCATTGGCCCTACACTATATAAAACTCGACTGCTGGCCCGCAGGTCAAAGGATTGAACCCTGCCCGCAGCAACCCCATTTTCAATGGAGGCAAAAATGATCGAGCCAACTTACTTAGATTTAAGTGCTCGTTAAAGAACACCAGGTGGTTGAAATTTTCTGGAGCCCTCTAATATGATGCCTCTCACAATCATGCCATGCTTTTGGAAAGTTTAACCCCATAACTATTACTAAATTATGTTATATAAAATGGTAATAAAATGGTTTCCTACAGTATCACATGAGGAAGGAAGTGAAGAAAAATTGCGGTGGATTCTTTGCAAATTGATTTATGTCTAACAATTAGCAGGATAATTGGTGCATAAACTGTCCATCTCTTTGCAGGAACACAGGCAATATGGGCAACGAAGCTTGTCTGGGCGCGTCATGCTCCTCACCTGATGGAGTATCCTTTTTTACAGCACATGAGCATATTTGGGGTGAGGGCT